CGGTATGTTTGATATGTAGAGAGAAGTTGTCAAAGGTGCTGCAGCCTTTAAGTATCGAGGAAAAACACGGAAGAGGAAGACAGCTGACGATCTTCAGTCATAATTCAATCAGTTAACTCTTTTTAGGGTGCAGCTATATGTTTTATTTATTTCAAAGTGGGTCCATTTTTATTGTATTTTTTCCTTCAAATGTGCAGAGGACTACCCAAGTGCTGTGTTTAATTTATTTTAAAGTAGGCCTGTGTATTTTTTTTTATTCTCCTTATAAGAGTTCTTTGTTTCTTATTAGAGGTTAACAGTTTTATAAATAATAAATGCAAAAAAACGGTAGTTTTTGTCTATGATATAACAATAAATACAACTTTATAAGCTATCAAATATGTTTTGCGGCTCCAGACAAAAAAATTGTTGGAAAAGGGGGCAAAATGGCTCTTTTGGTCAAAAAGGTTGCAGACCCCTGGGCTAGTGGAAAGGTCAGTTCACCAAAGTCAAGAGGATTCATCTTCTTGGAACTATGAAAGTGTATGTAACGTCAAAGACAAATCATACAACATTGCAGTATATTGTACTGTATATTATACAATATATAATGTGCTGTATTAGTATTAATAAGATATGAATGCTGCATTTGCATGGTATAAGTGTTTGGCTGCTTATGGTAAAGTAAGTCCTAGTGCCAGGGTATAGATAAAGGATAAAAGGGTAGGCCTATGCTTATTTAAAAAACTCATCGTTTTTTAGAGGTAAATTAAATCAATCACTTCTATAACTATATATACATGGAGAAATTAGCATCGCAATGCCTGTATTCAATGCATAGGACAATGCATATGATGAATATCACATAGTATGGCCATAACAGTCATCTTATCACAATTTGTATGGGGGATATTGGAATTGTTAAAACATCTGTGGTCGTTTATGATCCTCATATGATGCCTATTTGATTTGACCATGACTGTCTTTCTGTTCACAGTAAAAATCTTAGAGGCTTTGTTGCACAGAATATCCTGACTCATAGCCGTAGTAACACTCCAATCATCACAGACAGATTTTGACTTACTTTTGTCATAGTTTATTCCAAGGACAAAATGTGACGCATGCACTAGGTCCAAATGCTCTCATGTGCACAAACATTAACATAGACATACGTGACTGAAACCAGCCTTAAATAAAATAGTGTAGAAAATCAAGTTCACAGCAATAGTTTCCACAAACAGCAAAATGTGAAACAAAAATATAGAAACCTACAAATTCAATACAATATGTACAAAATAGTTTAACTTTATAAGGTATTGTTTTGTTTAGTGATAATGCCTTGCAAAGCTGCTTTAGTTGTGTGTCCATGTTAGTCCAACTCATGTTAGGGGCCTCACATGCTCTGGTTTCAGGTAGACATATGTGGACCAGGAGTCCATTAGAGAGTCCATCCATCTGCTGGGGTCATGCTCCTCCAGCTGCTCCTCTGCCTCCTCTTCCTCACTGCACCAATCCACCTCATCTTCATCGGAGCATATCTTGTCGGTGCTGCTCCCCCTCCCACGAGACTCTTCCTTGATCTCTGCTCGATGTTTCGTTGTGGACAGGCTGGAGTGACACATGTTGCAGACCCTCAATAACTTAGTGGGGTGAATGTGTTCGATTACTGCTCGCTTCTTGGAGCAAGCCCCGCAGACCACAAAGCCACATTTCCGGCAGTGGTGTCGCCGATGGGCCACGCTGAAGCTGTTGGAGCAGCGCATGCAGACCGCAGAGGCCTGGTCCGGGATCCAGGTAACGGCGAAGTCAGGTCTTGGCCTGGAGCAGGCGCTATGCAGCCTGGACTGGCACTCCTCGATGTGTTCGATCCAGGCTCGCTTCTCCTCGTACGAGACCGCCGCCATGTAGAAGGACTTGCGTGGGGTGCGCAATAACCATTGGTTCCTCATTTCCGTGCTGTCCTCCAAGTCCTCTAGCTGGATGTACTCTGAAATGATGCAAAAAGGGTTTGTTAGGACAAGGCTACAAAGGTGCAACATGATTTTGCATTTAGTAGGCCTACACAAAACTGTGTGGCAAGTTATGCCATGTAAGCAGAGAGAAGTGTTAACAAGATTATGTTTGATAAATGCAACTGATTGCAATAGATTTAACAAACAAAGGCAATGCTTTATTGCAGAAAAAATTGCTTCTAACTGTTTTGGCCCTTTATTGTTGTTTATTACAGAAGCGCGAAAGTTATGGAACAATTAAGCTTTATGTTTCTCCTTAGAGGAATTTGTAAGTTGCTCACCTAGAGGGATGACCTGCTGCTTTTTGTTCCATCGTCCGTTCAAAATGATGCTGCCGTACACCAGCACATCGTTGAAGAGGAAGAAGGCTTTGGGCTGTGGCCCCCGGCGGCTCAGCTTCATCAGCCGGCCCTCTCCAATCAGGACCCGGCCCGGTTGGGACAAGGCCTTCCCAGACGGCCCAAATGAGTTCTCCACAGCCTGGATCCGCTCACGGTTATTCTGAGCAAACATGAGCTGTTCTTCCATGGTGTCCTTGTTTGTTGTTAGCAGTATGCTGTCGTCTTTCTGCAGATCGTTCTCTGTGGCTCTTAGAAGTAGTCATGCGTTTGTGTTTTGTGTGTCTGATGAGACAGGCAGCTCTGCAGAGGTATTTAAAGCCTTAGCGCCTGGTGACATCACTGGACTTTCCAAAGCAAATTCCGCTTTCAGAAGAAAACATTGTGCAATAGGTGAGGGGGCGGGAGCTACATTTGAATTCAGAGAAAGTCACCAAATTAAAAAAAAATAGGAAGGAAGAAATGCCTGCATTTAGACAGCATTTAGACAGCATTTTGACAACTGAAAATCCCTTTCTGCAGAGGAAAAGCCCTTCTGTTTTTCTGATCTTACACAAGTCATTTTGATTGTCCTGAGAATCAAAAAGATTCAGACTGACAACGGTTTAATTCAAAGGAACCTGAGGCTTCCACATGTTTTGCTGATAATTGATACATGCATTTATATTTTACCATCCAATGCATCACCAGCCTTTAATTAAATTCAAATGAAAGGCATTGTACCCCTTTTAAACACCTGAGCAAGTGAATATTGAAGTATATACTGAGGTTATGCATGCAACAAAATGTTATTGGATGACACAAAAGGAGAAACTGGATTAATAAAGCATCAATAGAAACCTTTTTCACTCGACCAGAGCAAAAGAGAGATCAGGTTTCATGATAAACCACAGGGCTGTCAGACTGGTCGAGCAGCTGCAGAATACCACATCCTGTCAACTCGTCATTTCTCGTGTAAACTTTCTACTGATTGATGCACGCTCATTAAATCTGTCTTCCTTCCTTTATAGAAGATGTATTATTTTAGTCACCACACCGCACACCCTAACACATATCCTAGCAAGCAGGGTTATGGTAAGAGGCGAATGCTTAACCACAAGAATAATATTTGAACCCTCTAAAGCCTAGCCTAGCACCAATGCTACTCTATTCTAAAAACATGAAATAACTTAAATGTTTTGAGAGAGACAAGCTTAAATTGTGTCTGAACCGTGAAAATGTCATTCTGTGTGTCATCATGGCCAAAATAGGAGGTGACTTTTGAGTTCTTGCCATGTAAGGGGTTAGTGTAGATCTTGTTGTGATAGCGATAACGTCACAACCACAGTCACAACATTTTTTTAATGTGTTTGTTGAGATAAAAATTGAAGGCCGCCCTTAAACAAAGGTGTGGTACGCACAAGGTTGTGGGAAACACCATTGGAGGAAATTGCCCAGGAAGGGCCCAGAGTATGGAGCTAATTTCCTGCCCATAACTCCACCAAACTAAACAAGTTTTACAAATGCCTTATGATTCACTAACAAACACAGTGTGGTTTAGCAAATACAAAACAAACATCTACAAACTAATGCATTAGTTTTGCAAATAAAAAACGTATCTGTTAAACAAACACATAACATTTTTCTAATAAATCATGTTCAGAGACAAATTCAGCATAGGTTTACAAGTACAACACTTTTTTTTTTACAAGTAAAAGGCTCGGCCAAGAAGAACAGACAAAGGAAACGATACAGGTGAAAACAATGATGCAGTCACTTTGTACGTCACCATGGATTCTGAGGCAATTCTCTTCACAGATTGATCCTGCACAGGGCCTGCAGTAAGCCTCTTCATCTGGAGGCTTTTCAAATATTGGTATTATATTAAGGAGAGAAAGACCTGACACAAGTAGAGATATGTGGACCTAATTAAATGATTCCTAACATGACTAGGACAGTGTGATATCAGCATATGAATACGTTATTTTGCATATTATTATGTACTGATGGAATAGAACCTTTTTTAAATGCAGAAACTCTACACTATAATATCTAAGTGGTGACGACAAGGGTCTATTTAATCTCCACAAATGTTTTCCTTTTATATATCCTATATTCTATTTAGAATAAGTCTGTTTTGATGTAAGTGCACAATCTGTTATTAGAAATGCATGGCTGTCGGGCACTAGTTTTTTAGAACGTGGAGTGAAATAAATATATTTATGTGTGCTAACATCTGAAACAATCCAAGCCAGACTCTATCATTAGAAAAAGTGGAAATGCTAAAAGTGTTTTAGCTTCAAACAGATCAGCTCATATGAATCATGTGTAATACCGTGACTTTAGTTTTATAAATGATTGTTTGGAGAAGGCTTCCTTTTACAAAGATCCAGGATGCATTTCTACGTGTGCAAGCTGAAAGACTATGAACATTTCAACATTGTGTACATGGTAATAAACTCATCCTTACAGATTTATATCCGGCTCCAAACAGAAACAAACCTGTAAGTCTGGATCAGTAATGAGATCTGAGTGAAACCTGTGTGTAATGAGGCCACCACAGCTAAGAACACACTGATGTCTTGGATATATAATGGAGACCAATGTTGCAGCTCAGCAGTGTCAGACACGGTTAAACCTGTTCTCTTAGAACAGTGTGTGAGAGGCAGAGCAGGTGAAGGAGTTCAGTACACACAGTGTCATATTTGTATTCAGTTCAGTACAGTCCACAGAGCTTCACTTGATCTGTTACACAAAGGGTGCAGACGGACATATGCGTCACTTTAGCTTCATCCTATTCTGTACAAAATACATTTCACAATAAAAACAAACACTGCTGTCCAACAGAAAACATGCTCTGCAATGGACTTCCACTAACACAATATATAAAACCTCCACCTTTTTATTTCCTCATGCACTACACACAAAGCTCTGAAAAAACAAATTACCAGTTTACAGGTGTACAGTCTAATGAGCCCTAACACTACACACGTAACTGGGCTTTCTTTGAAATGTAACTGATAAAAGGCTTAGTGAGGCTTTTTCTTTGAGGAATTTTAACATTTTTTCAAAAAACAACCACTTTCTGACATGTTTTTCATTGTTTGTCACTCTGAAGCAGCCCTAGCAAAAGCATGAACAAAATACTATTATAATGATACCAGGCTTTGGTTTTTGGTTCCAGTAGCTGGTATACAATAGGTTACAAATGACAGTCTGTATTTTTACAGTGTCAGATATGTATTTAATTAACATTACCATATTGAATCAAGATACCCAATATTAAATCCACTTGGATTGGGAAAAGGGCCGTAATTGGGACCATCCCTATTACTTTGAATTCTCCAAGCAGATGAGTGATGACATCATCAGGGTTGTTTTTCTCGCACACAGAAAAACATTATCTAACTGAGTTAGTGGCTTTTCAGTCCTCACCATGTGTAACTCAAATTCATCCAGAGCAGAATCAGCGGGGATCCCTTCAAAATACAAAAAAAAGGTATGGTCCCCACAAACAATAAAAGACCACTTGCTATATGTGCCATTGTTGTTGCAGTTCCTCCTGACTGCCGACAGAGGGCAGTGTGAGGCAGTGTGTGTCATGTCTCTGATGGTCACTGACTCCTCACAGGTCGATGGTTCCTCTCACTTTAAACTTCTGGCGGAGCGTTCACTGGCTCGCTGCTCAAACTTGCTCCCGTAGATGTGGGACACGAAGCCGTTGATCTCCACTGAGAACACGCTGTTCCTCTTGGGGATCACTGTCACACAGAGAGAATAAAAACAATCTGTAACACTGCCATCAAAAGCTTCACCATTTTTTGGTTAGAACATTATATTGTATTGTGACAATTCTGACATGGTGGACCATAGTTTAAAAACAACTAAGAATATGATGGAGGCACAGACGACTGGAACACAAAATGATTGTGTCCTGTTTTCGTGAGTCCTTACCTTTCAGTTTGTCTTCTCTGGTGATGATCTTGAAGACGTGTTTGAATCTTGGACGATGATCCCGGTAGTCCCTACATACGACGGGCATTTTAGAGCGCACCACTGTGACAGAGACAAACATGAACTATTAGAACTCAGTCAGCACAATAGGATATTGTCTGATGGCATACAATAAGTAGATTGTTGTGAATTCATTATCTGGATAATCAATAATATCTAAATGAGTCATTTGAAAAGGTTTCTATCTTATAGGACCTGTAGGAAAGATCCGACTCACAGTGTTGCTATGTCTTATTTAGTTATCCGTTATGGAAGCAGGTGGCCCGAATGATGACAATTAATCAGAAATCGTTTTAAAAAAACCTGAAATCAGGGTCTCTACGGCTTATTTTTCACTCGTATTTAAACTTCACTATGACTTCAAATGTGACACGATGTATCTCACAGTGATGTTGGTGTGAGAGAAGCTGAAACTCTACCTGTGACGATGGCACCGTGGAAGTCAGCCTTCAGGAGCTTCTGCTGCACAAACTGTGGATTGCTGTAAAAAACACAGCGTTCACACATGAGACGGCGCACACGGGGAATACAAGGACTTCTGCAAACTTCTCCTGTGCAGTTTAGTGGGGATTGGCAGAGTTGATGTGTGACAATGCAAAGTGCTTTACCTGTTGGCTTCAGCCCGCTGCCACATGGTCGATAAACGTACTGTCTCCAGAGGTCATGCAGAGGCAGGAAGAGCTCGTATCTACAGGACAAGGATGAAGACAGGGATTTTAGAGACATTTCTACTTTAATATGATTGTTTGATTATTTGTCTGTGGTTTTAGATTATATTAAGATAATTATGTAAGGATATTACATGTGTGTCCATAAAGAGCAGAACAATGGGGACAGGTGATGATGGTTAGAACGGGGAGGCGGTGAAGTCTTTTTTCCACAAGCTCTTATTGTTATTTTGGGATGGATGCAGTTTATGTCGATTGTTCTCGTCTGTGTAATGCCCCGCCTGACTCGTAAAATAAATAGGAAGCTGTCATTTTCACATTTGTTTGGAAATAGAAACCACAACTCCAACTAAGGAGTTTTTTATTGAATGGACTTAAAGGTCCCATGTCATGCTTTTCCGGTTATTACCCGTCCCCTTGTGTGTTATGAAGCTTTTTCTGCATGTAAACGGTCTGCAAGAGCACAAACCCTCAAAGTACACCCTGTAGCGAGTAAACTCTAACACAGAAAAGACCTCCCCAAAACGCCTCGTTGGTGATTTTTTTTTCTTCATTTTTTTCTTCCTGAGTATAGTGACGTAACCATACCCAGGTCCAAATGGACCAATCCGCGGAGCTCCTCACACACACACACACACTCACTCAGCCTTATCTTTTCTCAGCCGCGGCTCCGCGGATCTCCGCCTGTGTGCTCAGGCTGAGACGCAGCAACAGGAAACGACACCAGTAACCCAGCTCACACCGTCCGCTCCTCGAGCCTCAAAGGGCGGAAGCAGCGAGCCCCGCAACGTCCCGCCAACACGGCACCCCAGACCCCACGCAGCATTCTCATCTGTTTGTCATTACTGGTGTCATTTTCTGGTTGCTAACCAAACGCCATTGTAACACATAACCACTGATGTTCCGCTTGTAACGGTGGTTGACTCATCAGAACAGAGTGGGCGAGCTGACCAATCAGAGCACACTGGGCTCACAGGGAGGGGGGGGGCAGGAGCTCCAACAAGCCGTTTTAGGACAGAGAGTGAATACAAATACTATACAGAGATGCTGTTATGAGAAACCAATGTGAGTTTGGAACATTGCCACAATATACATCTATTTCTAGTAGACCTCAACAATGGAATTATGATCAGTAGAAATGGCCATGTGATGGGACCTTTTAAACGACACAGCAGTGATACTGGGAAGAATCAAACTTAATGAGGAATCTATCACAATCAAGAAACAATGATGTGTTAATGTTCCAAACACATTTCCTCCCAATAACCCGTCCCCTCCTCCACTTTCCTCCCCCACCTCTGGTGCTCAGGTTTGAGCTGGAAGACCTTCATGGCCCTCTTCTGCCGGGCGTTCAGTCCCTTGGGTTTTCTTGCTCTTCCTCTTGTCCTTCTTGGGCCTGCTGTAGCCCAGGATCAGAGCCTTGTGGGTCAGCAGGTTGTTCACATCGCAGCGTGTGGTCTGCGGGAGGCTGTTTCTTCAGGAAGGCATCGGTGAAGGCTTTAGGGTGGGGTCGAGACTGGAAATGAGACAGAGATATTTACAGAGAGCTGGACTTATTATAAAAACAGAAAAACAAGTCCAGACTTGTATAGCATCCAAATGTGTGAAGAAAGTGTAGTAGAGCGTGTCTGATGATATTTATGACATCATAATACTAGGGAATAACGATCGAGTGAACAATAAATAGATCAATATATAAGATGACATTCCTTATTTTCCACTAATCATTTTCAGCAATAAATAGATCAATATATTGGAATATCAACATTTTAGGAGTAAACTCTAGTAGACTACTATCGTTGTTTTTTTTCTGAATCGGTTGTTGTCGCATTGCTGTGCATTTTCCCACTTCAAATAACAAAAGTACGAATCAAAAACAGATGCAAAACAATATTTTAAACATGAATGTAGAAAATAAGATATATATATACCGTATATATATATATATATATATATATATATATATATATATATTTTGAGACAACTTGATTGTATACAGACACAGAAAATTCCAGAAAAAAAGATGCATGTAATAATATTCAAATGTCTTGTCTATATTATTGTATTCTAAAATCAAATCCTCCTTTTTTGATAAGGGTGAACCAACATGTTTTTATTAGAACATTTCCAAGTGATTTTCAAAATATCTGCACTGTTGATTCATAGACAAAGTATTTCTCATGTCCCTTTATTATCTGCAGGAAGACTGTGCACAGCCTGACTGGAAAGGGATCACTGTGCAGCACATCATGTCCTCAGTAGGTCTCTGCTTACCTCCACACCGAGAAGCTTCTCCAGATCCTGAGGGATGGTGGCTCGAACAAGAGCTTCTGTTGAACAGAACAAACACATCTAGTGTTACACCAAACCTGATGGACCTCCCTGAGCTTCTGGACCAGAACACAGGAGGGGTTGCTGGGCCGATGTGAACCCCAGCAGCTAGCCTCAATGAGCTTCTATTCCTACTGCTGCCCTATACAAAGTCATACATTAACTCAAATCCATCTGTAGGCTGTTGTGGGGTTATTCCATTTTTTATTTGTCTATTCACATTACATATCTGGTTGTAATTTAAAATCAAAATACCCAATCATAGGATTCTTCTGGACAGGAAAGCTATATATAACATATGAAGTTTTCCAGAGAACCTTGAGCCATGATAAAGCCTGGGAGTTTCACACTGAAGAATGAGGATGAGATCACTTTACATAAGAGAGCTACAGTTGCATATTTCAAGTCCTCTGACTGACAGCGTTGCTCCTGGGACCCTGAGTTAAAGATAGAAAAGAAAAGCTATGTAGGAGAGTGACAGCGGGCACAGAGACAGACCTGTTCGACTGGCTGCTGCAGAAGTACAGAGGCAGTTCTGTTTTTCCAACGCTGAAAGCTCATCAGCCAGACACTGGTGTCTAATTTCAATACTGTTTGGTTCCGCCTGAAATGTGTATTTTCAGTCTCATAATTGGTCTCATTCTGATTGATCCCACCAGTTCCTGATTTCAATCGTAACTTTGGAAACACTTGTGAAATCAGAAAAGTAAAGGTTTTATTATATCAGCAATGCAATTGAAGTTGACCAAATTCCCTTATACCCAAATCAATCAATGTATATTCTTTCTTATCGTAGTTTGTTTATTTTACCACCTGTTCATATTTACTTTATTGGTTTTCCTTATTGGACCCCCCCTAGAGGATGCTAGGACCACTCCCCACTTATAAAAATAGCACTTCACCCCTGCTTACACCCAGGGCCGTCCCTCCCTACAGACCGATCATGCAGACTGCGTGGGGCCTCACCTCGCGGAGGGAGCCTCAACTGAGCCGAAAATGCGGCGCACCTATGCGCTTATGCGGCGCAATTAGTGTGGCGCGGCACAGTTTCGCTGCTGCGATGGCTCCACTAGCAACCGCCCCCCCCGTCGACGCTCGCGTAAAAACAGAGGGCCTCATCATATAACTTTGCGTGGGGCCTCATGTTGGCCAGGGACGGCCCTGCTTACACCTATATTGCCGTGAGCTGATTATCGAGCCTTCATTGTAACAGTCGCGGGTACACACTGTGTGTGTGCGTGTGGAGAGTGTTGCAGTAGAAAAATTCCACTTGTAGCGCCCGGTACCTTAATGGGAAACCCTACACTGTTTGAGCAACCTCTATGAAACGTCAAGCTACCCCACAGCACCCCCAAAAAGAAAATCTCTGGCGCTGCTACTGTGGGCTAAGCCCCGAATGTTTCCAGGTCCAGGGACACGCCCCTGGTTTGCATCATTATATGAAGTGAAGGATGACACATTAGCCCTTTCTCACGAGAGGCATTTTTGATTGGTCAAAGGCAGCAACAGCACAGGTGGAAATAACAGCATTCATTAAGACTGTTCAGTGACATGAGCCAGAGAGATGTGTATTTGAACTAGTATCACAATAGCAGCACGAGGTGCCTTCTGAAGAATGTTACGTGTATTGTATTTTGTCGTTTTTGTATTTTCTACTTTTAGTACATCCTTTTTTATTTGTAACAATATCTACACTGTATTGCTACTTTTATTTTGGTTGAATACTTCTCCCAATGGGTATTTAGCATCCCTACACAGACATTAGGATGAAATAAACAGAAGGGACACATGGTGGGTTTTAAACCAACTTGAAGAATGTTGTGTTTCCGGGTCATGTTCATCACCCTTCGACTGCTTAAACTCACCTTCCATTCCCTCGTTTTCGCGGACTTCCTGAAGAATACCGTATCAATTCCCAATGTAAACGCCGGCTCTTTCTGACAGCAGAACAACTCTTCACATGTGTTTTGTTTACAACACGAGCTCACTTCCGGGTTTCTTCTTCTTCTGCAGTTTGCGGCAGACTGACCGCTGTGGGGGAATGTTGCCCTCTACAGTCAGAACAACGCATACATTACCTTTCTAATCCAGCCTTTTGATCATCTTTTGCTCAATTTACCTTAAAATTCATTGAGCTACAGATTTATCTTCACATTCCATAAAACCTTTCAACCTCCATGTGTTACATATCTGATAGAATAACCAGCATTAAACACTTCTGTTAGTTTCCTCATCTTGTTTTATTTTCCTCATGTTCCCCTGATCCGCTCCACAGGGGAAGCCTGAGCTACTGTTTAAAAACCCTTGCTGTGAAAGATGAATTTACATTTTTTGGCTGTGTAATCTCATATTTAGTCACAACAATGTCTGAAATCAATCATGGTGGCCTTTATAGCATATGTCTATATAAAGTGCACATACAACACTGTGCAGTGAAGAAATTAACCCTTTCATGCATGAATTATGAAAGCCTCAGTCAGGATTTTTTTACAAAGTGTTTTTATTGCTCTTGGGGCATGAAAAACAAGATCTTTTGGACATTTCTACTGAAATAAAACTAACCAGTTCAGCAGCACCTTCTTTGAAGTGAATTTCGGTACATTGGGAGTGTATGTGTTTGTGTGTTTATAATGCAGTAATACTAGTAAACAGAGAGAATGGCAGTACTGCTAACAGGCTAATTTTAAACTGAAAGAAAGGTGATGCCCCCCAAGTAATGTGCCAAAAAACAATAAAATACAAAAAGAAGTCTTCAAAATATTTATTTAAAATCTATTTGTCAATCTTGTATAAAGAGTTTTATTGTACAAACTGTATCTCAACTTAATACAAATATAATAAAATGGCATTCCAACTTCTCTATACCAAATCGCTTTCAATAAAAAAAGGAAATCCCTGTTGTTTTCTTGCTAGAACTGTGTCCTTTCTAGAATAAAAAAATCCAGGATTCCAGTTTAAAACATATCTAAATACGTTACATAAAATACCATTCTGTGCAAAGTATTTAGAAGTAGACATGCAGCCTCCATCCTTACCCAGAATACACATGCACGTCTCTCAATAAATGTTCTGGTGTCATTATTTTCTTACTTTACTGCACTAGAGAGAAGAAACCACAATAACCCTTCAAGGATGATCCCTCAGAAGTAAAAGAGATAACTTAGACATGCTCTACACAGCAGAACATAATGGACACATGTTTTTGTCAAAAGCAACGAGATCTGATTTTTCAAAAGCTGGTGAATCCACCTAACACCTGAGCTCCCATGTTATATTTGTATTTTAGTGCTGGAACAACTGCTCAAATGAAAGATAAGCAAGAATCATACATGTTATTCCCATGTTAAGCAGCAGTACATGCATTAATTCATTTTTTAACCATTGTGAAGTAAGACAATATACTTGGCTCTTTATGGTTGGGCAAATACAATGCAAACCGCCACATTTTAAAGCTAAAAACCTCCTGAATCTGAGTGGTTTACATTAAGAAGACTAACCTGGAAACCCCAATGGTAGTGATGGGGGGGGGGCAATGCTGTATTATTAAGCCCTGGGAAAATACTTTATAGTATTTATTATTGAATACTATGGAATTGGCACCCAACCTGGGAATATTTAGCCCCACCCACTCATTTTCGGCTCGACCAATGACAGGACGTCTTCTCTGCAAGCAGTTTCAGTTGTACAGAGGGGGTGTTTCTCAATGTCGAGGAGGCTTGCTTGTTAGCACATGTACCTCCAAGTCACTTGCTTCAGAAGCAGGGGCGGCGCCAGGGGGTAGCTTGCTATAGCAACTCCAACAATTGGCCTAGCAACGGCTTAGCAACCCCATTGTTTTGTTGTGAAAATGTATTTATACACATTCTCGCGAGATCTATCAGGGGTCATTGTAAGTTAAAGCGCAAACTATTACTTGGCTAATGTTGTTATAATTCTCAGTATGTGAACACAGATCGAAAATGGAAAGATTTCTCACAAGTCAGCGTAAACGGCCGCAATCTCCAACGGAGCCAGAACCCTGTGTGTGTGTGTGTGTGTGTGTGTGTGTGTGTGTGTGTGTGTGTGTGTCTGTTTGCGGTGTGGTGATGAGGTTAAATGCCACAGCATGCCAGTTGAAACAGTGAACGATCGCTATTGTGTACGCTTAGGGTGTAATGGTATTATACACAAATATTGTAGGAGCACAGAAACAGTGTTCAAATTCTGCTTTTACAAACTTATTTTGGTTGTGCTTACCTTGCAAAGTAATGTTATAAGTGTCAAAGGAATGTTTTAATGTAAATATTAATGATAATATTGTAGCGTGTCCAAGTTAATAGTTATTTCAGTTATCAGATGTGCACAGTTTAGTACATTTGTAAAGTTATTTAGGCAATGTTGTTGGTGGGAGTTAGGGAGAGACCGCCCCTTCCAGGTGTGTGTGTGCGTTTTCCGGTGTGTGTGAAGGGAGTACGAGACGGTAGGAGTTGTGTTCGAGTGTGGGGAAAAGTCATAATGAGTGTTATACTATTGATTGGCTCTGTAAGGCGTGGCTGTGGTCGTCAATACCATAAAATAAAGAGAACGTTTACGACATTGAAGGCTCGTGATCTGTGATCTTGAATAGCGGTGAACTATTCAAATTTCCCGCAACGAAGTACGCCGGCCTCGGTAGAATTCCAAGTATCCTGGACATTGGAACAGTCCTTCGGCGGGACTCGATGACGTAGTATGCTTAAAATAGTGGCTCTGGAGCAGCCTTCCTCGACATTAGCCGCGTTCACACCGCAGTACTTTTCCCACTTTAGTTCCGATATAGTTCCGAAATGTCGCGTTCACACCAAAAAGAGCCGGAACTAAAATGAGTTCATGAGAACCTTTTTTACCCCCTTTTCCGTCCCTGCTAGAGAGCAGGTACTTTCGTGGGAGAAAAAGGTTCCTATGTCTGATTGGCTGGGCGGAATGCAAACCACGCCCCGTAAAACTCCCAAAAAGTTTTGTGAAGCCGCCATTGTATTATCCTTGCATTAGCATTATTAGCATTAGCATTAGCCCAGCGCAGAAACGCAGAGAGACTAACTTATGGCAACACAAAAGAAAACATGGGAGCGGTGGAGATGAGGAGGTGTCGGTGTTCTCATTGGCAGTGGTTTATAAATAACATGACACACAATAAGAACATGTGTTTTTTGCAGCAGCAGTAATTATTTGTAAAAATAATTATAAATGAACAAACATTGGTTGTATGCTGTGATGTTGACCTTTCAGTGCTTCTACCACACAATAGACACATTTAGTAGCAGTCTCGTCGGTGATGGTGCTGTGTGTGTGTCACCAGTGCAGGTGTAGGTGAGGGTGTTGGTGTAGTTGGCATATTAACTCCTCTTCAGTGGGCTCCTGGATCTGCTCTCTGCAGAGAAACAGGGGTAAGTCATGGACAACAGAAGAAGGATTGGACAAAAGGTTAGCTGTGGTTTGACAGATAGATTTGTAATTACCGGTATATGAATTACAACAAAACAGTAGAGTCAACCTACCTGAACATGAGTTGAACAGACGTTTCATATCTGATCCTCTCCACATCTGTAACAGAGCAGCTATGACTGCGGTCCCATTTATAGATGAAGTTCTGTCAGAAAACAAGGAACAGAGTATTTGTGCTGTTAGAATGTTTAATGTGTATTTTATATAAAAAAATAAGGCTGGCATTATTACAGATTTTCAGTCAACTAGTCACCTACACTAACAACCCCTTTTCAATGTATTTAAAAATACCTCAGATGTGGCTTGTCCAACAGTCAATGTGGTTCATTGATGTGCCATTGACAAATTGCCTTTACTAGATGGCACACTCATGGTCTGAAAAGAGAATACCTGCATTCTCGCTAATGGCCAGCAGGGGGCCATAAGAAGTCAAATTGTATAATGACCAAAAAATGACCCTACATCTCACTTGATTTATCACTTCGGGAAATATTTTCCTAATGGGTTTGTGAACTCAATCTCTAGTTTCAAGCCTTCTTTAATACAGCATGATTTAAACTTTGTAAATTAGGGTCCCATTACAGTGAAAAAGATGATAATCATGCAGGGTAAGTTTTATGCTAACATGTGTGTGACACACATGACAGAAAAAAGGTGACAACCACGCACATTTTAAGCGAATGCAGTAGCAATTGCTGGCTTATTGAAAGCTGATGTACCAGGAAGTGTGTATCTTTGTCGTTGAATGTACTTATTGTAAGTTGCTTTGGTTACACTGTTAGCTAAATGTAATGAATGAGTGTTTGTGATGTCTGAGGGAACTGACCTCTAAGATGAGCGCCACAAACAGGTTGACCCACATGACAGAGGAGGTGAGCCACCAAGACACAAAGTAGATCTTTGACCACCTGGGAAAAACAAAACGTGATCATCAGGATCAACACCAGCAACTGTTGTGCATGTGAAATGTAGGTTTCTTACTCAGTGGTGTATCTGCTGTATGCATCCATGAAGGCCTGCCAGTTGTTGACTATCATGACATCATAGAGCAACATGATGGACGCCTGAGACACAGGAAGGAAATTATTCTCTTTTATCACTTTTCTTTTGGGTATATCCAAGCAACAGTGTGCAACTGTAAACCCGTTCACAAAAGTAGCTGTACACCATCATTGACAATGGTAACTGATCATCATCAAAGGAAAAGGGGTTAATAATACTTTAACACACAAAACACACAGAAGTTACTGGAACTAAATAGGACAATAAAAGTCTAAAAGTTGTTGTTACTCACACCAAAGTCATCAAAGTTATTGGACCAGTAGCCCAGCTGCTCATAGGTGCCACACGCCATGCTGAAGTTGGAGGAGATGTTCTCCATGGAGGAGTTAAAGAGCCCACTGCAACCAACAACAGAGCGAGTGTTCAACACACAGGATACTATCTGTGAGGGAAGGGCACACTTCCTGCATTGTTGTTTTACTGCACAAAACAGGAGGCTTGCCGCTTATTTCATTTTCTACAGAGTAACACATCTTACATTGTTCAAGTGTTAAATAATGACATCACTATGTAACACTTGCGCTCCAACACATTGTACGTGTTAGCTAAAGGGCGGGACATCTCTAAGAGGTTGACCAATCACAACAGAGCCGGCCAGCTAACCAATCAGAGCAGACTGGTCTCTGGTTTCAGACAGAGGGTGAAAAGAGGTGCTGCAGCACAGGCAGTATGAGACAAATAAAGATCTCTTTGAACATTGAAGCATGGAGACATGTCCCAGTAGAGGCACAAAATACAAATATGAACCTGAAAATGAGCAGACTAGGGCCCTTTAATTGTTTTATTACTATAATCTATTCTTACTATTAGCAAAGGGCAATGTACGAATCATTCAGCTTCTAATTTTTAGCTTGCACTTAATTGTTGCCCTTGACAGACTGCATCAGTAATCAGTACAACCTTAATGCATCCCTTTACTGAATTATAACACATATCATTTAACATCTAAACAAGACCCCAAGTATTTATAACAAGAAGCCCCTTAATAAATAAGGCTAGCAAAATCATTTGGATTATAATTTGCTGGATGAAAACTCTGGATGAGTTTCTTATTGGCAGTTTGAAGGATTAAATGTAGCATTTCTTTTTTAATTGTCAACAGAGATGTAAAAAGAGCTTCATGTCATGGCTGCATACCTCATATTTGGAGGAGGTTTGATGGCTCCTTCAAACAGCCAGATCCCAATCACAGCAAACACATAGAACACCACCTGCACAGAGAGCATGAAGAAGACCCGTGTCAGCTGGAACCCTGTATCTCCATAAGTGTGCTTACAGGAAGACCAAACAATATGTTTTTTAATACAACTTTTTTAAATAGAGCCAGACGATTATCACATGTCATTATTTAGCCTATTAAAAAGCATGTTTTCTCACCAAAACAGAAACATTTTGATTTTCACACAACAATCATATGATAGGAAGAGGCATCAAAAATATTAATCGTTTCTAAATTTGGATCTTCATATATTTTATAGCTCACCATTAGTATCCCTGCAAAGGCTCTGAGGTTCTTCAGCAGGTCCAACAGTGTACTCGCAACCAAAGCCATGAGCTGTTCAACAAGAAGGAACATATGAGAGATATAAGGGACATGAACACAGGACATTTATTTGAAGTATATTTTTGTTTGCCTTACCTTGATATCTGGGATGATGCGCAGGAAGCGGAACACAATCAGCATGTTGATCAGACGCACCATCTCCCACAGAGACATCACACCATGAGAGGATGCATCCCTGTTTACACACACACACACACACACACACACATGAAACATTCTTAGATTTTTTTCCTACCACTAAGATTATTTGATGAAAATACAAACCTACCATTGAGAATAAGGAAGCCTGTAGGTGATATATATAGTGATTTGTAGGAGCTGATGGAGACAAAAACACATAAACAATTGATTTAACCTGCAATAACTGATTTATTTTCCCAGTGGGTTTCACCGGAAAATGAGAAAATAGTCCTTTAACAATCTGGATTGACACAGGTTGTCATGAATGACTGTGCTACGCTTACTAAATACTGCTGCAGGATGGTCAAACTGCATTTAAACTTTTGTATTTTGGTCCTATCAACAAAGATAGAATACCATGGGACACTGTACAAAATATAACAAGCTGCTCACATGTGAAAACAAATTAAATCCTTGTAAATATGCTTCCGTTATCCTTAAGAAATGAAACTAGCTTCACATGTGTTATACTTAACGTGAGGATAATAAGAGAGAGGGGGAGAGCAGGGTTACCAGGAGCAGGATGGTGAGGAAGCCGTCAAAGATGTTGTTCCTGTAGGAGAGGTACCCTTTCCATCCGAAGGCAAAGATTTTCACGCACATTTCAAACAGGTAATACAGGATGAAGCACATGTTGATGATCTGGCAGTTTGACAGAGGAAGAGGGATTTAGTCCATTAATGAAGCAGGTTATGTTCACAATTTTAGCAGGCAACAGGGCCCCCAAAACATCAAATGAAACAGATGAGATACTGAGGATTTAAATATAGGATTTTAAAGATTTAATTTGTCTATGAGATACTTTGAGATGGATCAAAGTGTTAGTTAGGGTGTATATCAGGGGTGGGGAACCTCCGGCCTCCGGGCCGTATACGGACCGCGAGACCATTTGGTACGGCCCTCGAGGTAAAAAGAAAACAATTAAAGAAATCTAAACCGCAAAAGAATTAAACAAGCGAGTGCCTGTTTTTCCTGGCCAAGGTCAGGGTCCTTGAACACAACACGAGCCTAACGTGTCATTACGTGGTATATGTCTCGTCTGACAGGGGTGCAGTTCTGATGGAGAGCACCAGAACGTAGCTCCAGCACTTCAGAATTGTCAGTACCCATAAGGAGCCGTACACATGCTGCAGTTTTTGCGTGGCTGTGTCTTTAGTTGAAAGCCCAGTGGCGATCTGTTCATCTGTCATACTGATCATACAGTCAATAACTTTGTTGTTATTAGCATCTGGTTAGCTAGCTATGCTAACGAATATAAGAAGCTTTTTCTACAACCAGTGAGGTAAAGGCACATCTTTATATGATCATTATAGTTATAAAAAAATAAGAGAATAAAGTAAACAAGTATAAAGAATACAGTATAAAAGGAGAGTGATTTGTAAAATATCCATAAAGAAAAAGAAATCTGCTTACAGTTCTGTTTCATATGGGTGTTGAGAGATGTTTCCATAGAGCTCCTAATGTTGCTCTCAAAGTGCACCAGATTGATGCTTTTAACTTCTACATTTAAAAACAAATCTTCCCGGGGGAGCATGCCCCCCGGACCCCCCTAGAGGAGGTTAAGTCCCCCCCCCACTTAAATCATGTTCACATGGATAGGAAACTAAATACATTTGCACACATATTGTGTCCATATCTTTCTGTTGTGGTGGTCATACCACAACCGTGCACGTGCATGCATGCGCGAGTCATTGTAAGATATCTGGATTAAGAGGTTGCTTTTTCTTTGCACAGCAGAAAAGAAAGGCGAAATGAATGGGCTGTGATTCTAGTATTTTTAAGCAGAGGTCAATCATTTGTACGGCCCTCGGAGGATGTTGAAAAAATTGAAATGGCCCTCGAGAGGAAAAAGGTTCCCCACCCCTGGTGTATATGAACATCCATAAGACATTATAATAACATTAGCCATAAGGCTGTGCTCACCTCCATGATGTAGTTGTCTCTCTCTGCTGTAGACTTATCAGAGTTCAGAACCAGGACGGTCTGAAACACACAAAATGTACAAATATAATATTGCCATATGGTAGACAGATGATATGAAGTGAGAACAAAACATTTAAAAATGGGTGGTGGTCAATGTGTCCGGGAAGATTTCAATGTCTCAGACAAGCGAGAGGAATTGCAGTCAAAGAAGCTTGAACACATTTGATAGGAAGGCTACATAAAGAATGTCATCATTAAGATATGAAGATTTATGCTGCACTGAAAAGTAGAGTTATTTCAAAGAAAACATACGTATACAAATATATATATATTACGCAAGCCTACGACATAAGTCTGTCTTCCTCAGTGTTAGCCCTACAGATACTCAGATCAAATAAAACTGAATAAAAACTATTTGCTAACAAACCAAAATCCATGTATTATTATTATGTATGTATGTATATGCCCTACTGGCTCATCATATTGTAAATAAAGGCCTGCTGTGCTGCTGCCAACTTCAAATCAAGCTCTGCTTTAAATGTGTTCTTCAGATAAAAAAACATTTGCCAGTTGGACCCATCCAGGATAAATGTAGCTTCATTTACCTATGAGGACTTTCAAGCCCCCATAACCAGACCACTGTCCTCACAGTGATGGACCTTGTAGCACTTGTTACTAGGGATGCCAGCGATTATTCGATTGTTCGAATATTCGTTACAGTCTCCATAATCGAAAATTATTTTTAAAATTCGATTTTATTTATATATTTTTTTATTATTATTTATGTTTTTCTTTTTTTTCGATTAATATTCGCCAGGGCTGTCCGATTTTCGAATTTGATCATGGTCAGTTTCTGGCATCCCTACTTGTTACAAGAGCTGCTTGTGCTGACTCACCTAATCAGACTATTTTTAATACACTTCAAATTGTGTTTAGGGGAAATTCGTTTTCTCTCGTCATTATAACCAGAGGGATTAACATTTGTCAGACTTCAACCAATTTGGCTAATATACAGTACATGTACGTATATATGTGTGTGTGTGCGTGCAACTTACACATATGGACACGACATTGGCCAGAGCCACCGCGTTGCCGAGGATAGTGAGATAGTAGTGACTGAAGACATTCTGGAGTCTCTGCAGGACTGGAGAGTTGTACCCGGGCAAAGGAGGGTGCTGGGAGGAACACACACAGAGATATAAAAACGATGTCAAAGTGAATGGTAATGTTGAGTAAACAGCAGAGCCTGTGGGCACAGCTTTACCTCCTTAATGCGATCTTTATCCAGTTCATCAAATATCTTCCTGAACTGCTCTCTATCCATGTAGCCAACATCTGCATACTGCTGAACCTCCTGAATCCACAT